ACAACCTCCGCCTCCTGGGTTCAAGCAATTCTCCTGCCTCAGCCTCCCAAGTAGCTGGGACTACAGGCGTGTACCACCATGCCCAGCTAATTTTTTTGTATTTTCAGTAGAGACAGGGTTTCACCATGTAGACCAGGATGGTCTCGACCTCTTGACCTTGTGATCCAGCTGCCTCGGCCTCCCAAAGTGCTGGGATTATAGGCGTGAGCCACTGTGCCCGGCCAGCAACAAGTTTTAAGTTTTTATGCCATTTGAGCATGTGACTACAGGGGCAATTATGAATTATTCATAACCATTATTTGACATTTATTACAATAATGATAAATTATTCTTCATAACACTTCTGTCAAATCAGATGTTTCAGAGTTGTGGCAGGGAGTCCAGAGTCAATGTTCTTATTTTTTTATTTTTCATGCCACTTTCAGCCACATTTGTAGGCACTGCTGACTCCTGTTCTATCCTTTCAAAATGGACATCTTAAGACAATGTACAGTCTAGAATGAGTTTGGAAATAAAATATTTATCTTTTTATTATGTGTATCCTTTGTCTATTCACTTGCTCATAGTTCCTTCTTTGAAGACACAAAGACACAATGACTGAGTGATTTTGCCTTCTCTGAGGTCAGTTACACTCACCAGGATAGCCTTTGAGTCCATAGGCTTGCCACTTGCTGATGGGCTGAAGACCTGCTCTACGTGCATCGTGTTCACTGACAGAAGACACATTTAGCTGAGATGTGACCACCTGGTAGGAAAGAAACAGAACTTAAAGGGCTAAATCTATTTTGCAGGTCAACCCTGGGAACCTCAAACCTCCAAACATATTTCTTGTATGAGGCAAAGCTAGGATTCTTGTTTTCTTGATATAGGATCTTGCTCTGTTGCCCAGGCTACAGTGCAGTGGTATTCATCATAGTTAACTGCAGCCTCAAACTCCTGGGCTCAAGTGATCCTCCTGTGTTGGCCTCCCAAAGCACTGGGATTAGAGGTATGAGCCACTGTGCCAGGCCAAAGCTAGGAGTATTAAGTCTGGGGTTAATCTTAGCTCTACTGCTTACTTGATGTAGACATTTTACATGAGTCACTTAATGTCTTAGAATCTCAGTTTCTCATCTCTGTACTAACAGTAGAATCACCCAAAGTTAAGAAAACAAGAAAATTTAAGCAGGGTAATTTTGGCTTTCAAAATTACTTCTTCCTATGACATCATACCTTTGCAACTTCTTATGGAACTGAATCATGAAAGGTGTTTGGTGTACTGAAATATCCCGAGTCACAAAGCTATTTACTTCAGATAGGGGTAACTGTAATGCTTTTGAGACACTTGTGTAGAGTTGGTATTTAAACAGAGCTATAAGGAACACCAAGCTGGAGAGGGTGAGAGAATGAAAAGAGAAGGCTGGGGTCACAGTGGCTCACGCCTGTAAACCCAGCAGTTTGGGAGGCCGAGGGGGGCAGATCACGAGGTCAGGAGTTCGAGACCAGACTGGCCAACATGGTGAAACCCTGTCTCTACCACAAATACAAAAATTAGCTGGGAAATCCCAGCTACTCGGGAGGCTGAGGTACCAGAATTGCTTGAACCTGGGAGGTGGAGGTTGCAGCGAGCCAAGATCGCACCACTGTACTCCAGCTTGGGGATAGAGCAAGATTTTCCATCTCAAAAAAAAAAAAAAAGAAAAAAAAAGAGAGAGAAAATGAAAAGAGAATCCTGTGTAAACAGAAAAAAAAAAGTTTCAATAAAACACCAGTAATCCTGTTTGCTAAAAGTATACTACTTGCCCTCTTTTAAATGAAATGTCAATCCAACGCTATAACTTCTGCTTCTGTTAATTACAATGGATTTAGTACTGACCAGGTGCAGTGGCTCATACCTGCACTTTGGCAGGCCAAGGCGAGCAGATGACCTGAGGTTGGGAGTTCAAGACCAGCCTGACCAATATGGAGAAACCCCTTCTCTATTAAAAATACAAAATTAGTAGGGCATGGTGGTGCATGCCTGTAATCTCAGCTACTCAGGAAGCTGAGGCAGGAGAATCACTTGAAGCTGCAAGGCAAAGGTTGTGGTGAGCTGAGATCATGCCATTGCATTCTAGCCTGGGCAACAAGAGCAAAACTGTCTCAAAAAAAAAAAAAAAAAAGAATTTAGTATTTGGGGGGGGATGTTTTCTTTTACATTAGTATCTAATGGATGGCTTGTTACATTGGTTACCAGACCCACTATACAGTCACTGAAGTAAAAACATTAAGATAGCCAAGTGTAGTGGCATGCACCTATAGTCCCAGCTACTTGGGAGGCTGAGGCAGAAGCATTGCTTGAACCTAGAAGGTGGATGTTGCAGTGAGCTGAGCTCATGCCACAGCATTTCAGCCTGGGCAACACAGTGAGATGCTGTCTCAAAAAAAAAAAAGAGTGTATATATACTACATACATATATATGAAACATTCTCTTAGAAAGAGAATGATCTTTCATCCTATCTACTTCTCCAAGTCTGGAGATTTGCAAACAAAATACCAATAGTTGGCTGATGTATAATAAATAATAAAATAATAAAATGACGATCTAAAACTCTCTAAAAGTACTGATCAGCTGAGTTTTCCAGGTACCTAGGGGCTGATAAAACACTTGTTTTTGTTTGTTTGTTTTGAGACGGAGAATCTTGCTTGTTGCCCATGCTGGAGTGCAATGGCTGATCTTGGCTCACTGCAACCTCTGCCTCCCAGGCTCAAGCGATTCTCCTACCTCAGCCTCCCAAGTAGCTGGGATTACAGGCATGCACCACGACACCTGGCTAATATTTTGAGTAGAGACGGGGTTTCTCCACGTTGGTCAGGCTGGTCTTGAACTCCCAACCCCAGGTGATCCCCCCGCCTTGGCCTCCCAAAGTGCTGAGATTACAGGTGTGAGCCACCGTGCCTGGCCCAATAAAACACTTTTTGTTTTTTTTTTTTTTGAGACAGAGTCTTGCTCTTGTTGCCCAGGCTACAGTGCAATGGAGTGATCTTGGCTCACTGCAATCACCGCAACCTCTGCCTCCCTGGTTCAAGTGATTCTCCTGTCTCAGCCTCCTGGGTAGGTGGGATTATAGGCGCCTGCCACCACGCCTGGCTAATTTTGCATTTTTAGTAGAGACGGGGTTTCTCCTTGTTGGTCAGGTTGGTCTCGAATTCCCAACCTCAGGTGATCTACATGCTTCAGCCTTCCAAAGTGCTGGGATTACAGGTGTGAGCCACTGTGCCTGGCCAACAAAACTTTTGCATTTTGTCATGATTTCTTAAATAGGCCGTACTTAATACGCACTATAACTCAACACACTCTCGGAGGTGATGTTAGTGAACCTATTCTATTATATACTAAACTGAATCACACCATGAGCTTTTATAAAAGGTTTTCTGCTTTCTCCCTTGCCAGACTGTTAACCACCACTTTCCCCACTAGTCCCATCAGCTGGCTTGTAAAGTAACTTCTCTTAATTACTACTTTAATCTGCTTTGAGCTGGGGAACTAAACACTGAAGTTTTCATGTACTCAACACACACTGTATTCATTTAGTATTGTTTTAAGACCTATACTAGACATACAATGGCTCATTCTGTGGTGGCTAACATTCCAAAAAGTGTGTACATATTATGGTAAAATGTAGGTAAAAGGAGCTGAATGAGGGTCTGAAGGGCTCTCCAGAGAAAAGTGTATTATTCTTGGGGTGTGGACTTTCTGTATTTTGACAACTCTATGACCATTTTTTTGCTAACAAATGAAGGTGCCGAAAAGCTGACCTCCAGTATGCAATCATTAACACTTAATACTACAGCATCCGAATTTTATCAGAGCTATTAGGAAGCCTGGAAAGAATGCCTCATCTGGACATCTGTGGACAACAGCAACAGAAAATTAAGGGACTACATATCCTCAACGTTAAAGTGGACTGTAAAGAAAGGAAATGTAAATTGAACTACGATTTTGGTTCCCCCTGTTTTCCCTCTTGCCTATTACGTTCCTTTAAAAATTTTGTTTAAATCTACATAATTGAGATCGGGTTATGAGACTGGCTAATTTTTTCTATTTTTGGTGGAGATGGGCGTGGGGGGGGGTGTCTTGCCTTGTTGCCCAGGCTGGTCTCGAATCTCTCGGTTCAAGCGATCACCCGCCTCGGCCTCCTAAAGTGCTAGGATTGCAGGCGTGAGCCACCACTCCCGGCCTGTATTACCTTTCTTAATCTCCATGGGGGAAAGTAAAAAGAAAGAACGGTGCTTGTATTCCATATATACTTGTTTGCCATTTATTTCCAACACGGAGGGATTCTCTCAGAATCCTTCAGTGACCTTCTAAAAGGCCCAGGGAAGACAGGAACTAGTTTTACGCACAGCGGCTTAACAAAGAGCGCTGGATCCCTGTCAGTTCAGGGATTCCTCGGGAGTGGTTTTTTCAAGCTGCAGAACGCTTCCTTACCATCTACGAAGGCTTTCTATGGGTTTTTACAAAAACCCAAACAGAAATGTGAGTAGACATTTATAGGAAGAAATAAACACCGATTCCCCAGGCTCTTTTGACAGAGGCCCCTGCCGGAAATGGCAGCCTGAAGAAACGGGGATCTCAACACTTAATTGCTGGTGTGATGGTTAGTGGGACGTTCAACTCAGCAGCCAAAGGAGGGCAGGAATCGTTCAATAACAATCGGTATGGAGGCGAAAAGAGGCGAGGAAGACACGGAAGCCCCTCCAAGAAGCGAGGCGAAGCGATGGAGAGGCGCGCGCCCCTCCTCTGTATGTACCTTGTGGGCATCAGGACCCGTGCCATGGGCTGCATGGTCCGCCGAAAAGTCGATGACTCCTCCCAAGTCTGCGGTCCCGGGCCGGCTCTGACGGTAGAAGCGAAAAAGTTTCCGAAAGGCGTCCTCCCCTGGCTCAGTTGCCAGAGTCGCCACGGAGCCCATGGCGGCCGCCATCTTCCCCATCTCGCGGCCTGTTCTGATCCGGAAGCAGATTCTCCCATATTCCGGATCCGGAAACTTTTTTCCGGCCCGCGACCCCAGCTAGAGAAGGTCCTCTAGTCTAAAGATGGCGGCTTTAACAGCGACTGGTGCTGTGGCGCTGCGTAGAAACGTCAGTCGGCCGGTTGCTTTTGTGAGAAAAATTCCTTGGACCGCGGCGTCGAGTGAGTGATGGAGATGTGGGAGTTTCGGAATTTTTAGATCCAAGTGATCCTCAAAGCTTATGCTTTTTGCAGGGTACTTAGCGTCAGCGTGTTGGCTGAATTAGGATACTGCTACTGAGTATGCAAGTGAGCAGAAAGAAATTTTGTTTGCAATGAACCCTTTAGGGATGTCCCTGAGCTTTTGGGGGCGTGAATGCACCGGCTTTTTGCCTTTAGGAGTGATTTGGTGTAAAGATTTTTTACTTGGAAACGCAGATTTACAATTTAGAAGGGATACTTTTGACTAGCGTGGAGGATGGATTCAAGGTGGCAAGATTGTAGGCGTGGGGAGGAGCTAAGCGGGAATTTCATTAATGTACTTAAAAGGTACTTAAAAAGACCTGACTTTGGGCAATGGTAGAAGGAGGGTGGTCAGATCCATTTATCTTTCAGAAGCAAACTAGATGCCGTTTCGTGATGGCTTAAATAGGGGGAAGTGTACGGAATAAGGGAAAGGGAGGAATTATAACCGGGTTTTTAGCATTGGTGAATATCAGCTTGTTTAGAAGTTAAGAGGAGCAAGCAGGCCAAGGGAAGATAAGTAAAGTTTGAATGTGTTGAGTTTGAGAAACTCGTGAGGTTTCCATCAGGCAGTTGGAAAGAGGTTGTGTATCATTGTGGAGTGGACTCCGAAGACAACCTGCTGGGTTAGAATTACAACTCGGACATTTAATCGCTGTATTACCTGAATAACTGAAATTAATATGGGAAAAGGGCTCACACTGGGCCACAGTTTAACTCATCGATAAAATGGAGTCAATACCCAACTTAGAAGATTGTTGAGAGGATTGAGTTTATATGCAAACTTCCTAGATTTGTGTTAGATATAGTTTAAGTACTCAACAAATGATAATTATTTGCACGATAACTAAAGTTGCAGGTTATGGGAGAGACCTAGTCTAGAGATAAAGATGGAAATGATGCTGAAATCTCTCATCACCTTCGATTTTTGTCAGCTGCAGTTTTGAGATAAGGTTTTTACATTTGCTTACCAACATGTAAACAGTCGTGGTAACTTTTGTGTGGATATTCATGTATCAGGTCACCCCCTTTAAACAAAATGGAACAAGATTTAGTTTCTTAGTTTTTGTGGCTCAGATGTGAGTAGTAGAATGGGAAATAGGTTGGTTTGTGCCCCATCTTTTAAACATGTGGTTGGTGAAGACCAAGCCCAGTAGTCTCCCATAGGCCCCGTGAAACTTTACGGAAAGGCTGAGGAGTTTCATTAGCGTCTTGCAGATCCAAGTTTGCAGGCAATAAAGGGCTAGTTTAAAACCCTCAAAAAGAGTCAGCATTATGTACAACTTCGAAACAGTTTCTCTCTGTTGTTCCATTGATTCAGCAAATATTTATTTGAGTATCTATTACGTGGTAGGCATTGTTCTTGGTGCTTGCAGCTGTTTCTCCCTCAGTTTCAGGCAGGTTAGAAAGTCGGTTACCTTCCTGAGATGGTTTGTTTTGAAATCAGTCTCTTCTGGGACTTTACTTATCTGGTATAAAACATGCTTAACATTATTTTGTTCTCCACTGTCATATTCTGTGAGATCTTGATCTTGGCCAGTTGGTTTGACTTACCATGAGAACCCTTCAAAACTTAGTCTCTGTTGATTGTTGAAGGATTAGTGGACATTTCCTTATTCATTAGCCAATATTGAGGTTCTACTGTTTATTGGTCACTGTAAACATAGTGGTTTATATGCTGAGGGAGCTTGCAGTGTAGTAGTGGGGATGAAGAGACAACAAATTTAGGCAGTTGTTGAACCAGTGAGGTTTTGGTGAACTAGGAGAACTAAATAGATATTATAAAAAGTAAATCAGTGAAGTACAAGCACTGTAGTTGAGAAGAGAAACAGATCATGTAGTTTTTAGTCTTTAAGATCACATACTCTAGTCTTTGAAGTCTCACAGGGCTAGTACATTGTCTTGTATTACAGCAGGAGCCCAATAAAATAATACTCAGTGGATGTATTTGGTTTGGGTCTTGAAGGATAGTTATAATTACAAGTTAGGCAGAGGGAGATAGGATTACCAACATATTGAGGGGAGAGAACAACATATGCAAAGATGGGAATCCACAGGACAGAGAGATGATTCAGTTTGTTGTACTAGAGAGTAATTAGGGGCTAGCAGGGGGAAATAAGGCAGGAAGGTAGGTGAGGTCAACTTAACAAATTTTACTGAATTGTGAAGGAATGAAACAACAGTAAGTTGAGATTTTATTTGGAAATTTTCAGTATAGCTGGAAACACACTGGATTGTAATTTGTCTTTTTCTTCTTTGTGATCTGCTCACAGGGGTCATAGTTCACATAGCACAGTAACTGATATGATGAAAACACTCAATATTTGCTGAGGATGGAGACTGCAGCCAGCTCAACAACTTGTCAGTCCATCTCCCCTCCTCACCTCCTACCAAACCTGGTACATTATGGCTTTATAGCCAGTACCATGGCAGCTTCCTAAATCTCAAACCTTAAGGAAATGCAAAGTAGTTCCTGTCCACAGAAGTCTGGTGACCCTGGGACCACTTTTAGTTTCTATCTACAATCCAAGATAGAGAATCCAAAAGATAGTAACTATTAATATGTTTTTTCTGCCACACAGGTCAGCTGAGAGAACATTTTGCACAGTTTGGCCATATAAAAAGGTGTATTGTACCTTTTGTAAGTATTAAGAAAAAGGAGGGAGGCAGGGATGGCTAATGGGTACAAAAAAAAAAAAAAATAGAATGAATAAGACTTACTATCTGATAGCACAACAGGGTGACTGTGTTTAATAATAACTTAATTGTACATTTTAAAATAACTCAGAATGTAATTAGATTATTTGTAACTCCAAGGATAAATGCCTGAGGGGATGGATACCCCATAAGTCAAAGGGTAAATGCTTGAGGGGGTAGATACCCCATTCTCTGTGATTTGCTTATTTTACTTTGCATGCCTATATCAAAATATCTCATGTATTCCATAAATATATATACCTACTGTACACCCACCAAAATTTTTAAAAAGAAAAAAATAAAGCTTAAAGTTAAAAAAAATTATTTATCTATGTATCTTGTGACACAGTCTCACTCTGTGCCCCAGCAGGAGTGCAGTGGCCTGATCTCACTGCAGCCTCTGCCTCCCAGGCTTAAGTGATCCTCCCACTTCAGCCTCCTGAGTAGCTGGGACTACAGACATGTGCCACCATGCTCGGCTAATTTTTTTGGTATATTTTAGTGGAGATGGCGTTTCCTGCCCAGGCTGGAAAATTTTTTAAATTTTCTTTTTCCTTTTTTATGAGATGGAGTTTTGCTCTTACTGCTCAGGATGGAGTGCAATGGCGCGATCTCAGCTCACCGCAACCTCTGCCTCCCGGGTTCAAGTGATTCTCCTGCCTCAGCCGCCCGAACAGCTGGGATTTACAGGCATGTACCACCATGCCTGGCTAATTTTGTATTTTTAGTAGAGACAGGATTTCTCTATGTTCGTCAGGCTTGTTTCAAACTCCTGAGATCAAGTGATCTGCCCACCTCAGCCTCCCAAAGTGCTGGGATTACAGGTGTGAGCCACTGTGCCCAGACTTTTTTTTTTTTTTTTAAATTTAAAGAGACAAGGTCTTCCTCTGTCCCCTGGATGGAGTGCAGTGGTGCAATCATGGCTCACTGCAACCTCTGCCTCTTGGGCTCAGGTGATCCTCCCACCTCAGCCTCCTGAGTAGCTGGAACTACAGGCATGTGCCACCACACCCAGCTAATTTTTGTATATTTTGTAGAGACGGGGTTTCGCCATGTTGCTTATGCTGGTCTCGTCAAAATCCTGTGCTCAAGCTATTTGCCCACCTCAGGCTCCCAAAGTGTTGGGATTACAGGTGTGAGCCACTGTGCCTGGCCTATTTTTATAGAGATAGGGGTCTTGCCATGTTGCCCAGGCTGATCTTGAATTCATGGCTTCAAGTAATCCCCCTGCTTTGGCCTCCCAAAGTGCTGGGATTACAGGCTCAAGCCACAATGCCTGGCCTACAGTCTTTATTGATAACATTTTGAGTGATACTGATAAAAAAATAAAAAAGCTTTATCATAGGTATTTATGTTAGTTCTTTTGTTGTTGTAAATCAAAACATCACAAGCATAATGGCTCAAAACAACACATATCTCACAGCTGGGCACAGTTTAGCTGGGTCCTTTCCTTAGGGTCACACATAGCTATATAATCCAGGTGTCAGATGGGGCTGTGGTGTATCTCATCAAAGGGTCAACTGGGGAAAAAGACTGATTTCCAAGCTTCCTCATTTGGTTGGCATTTTTTTTTTTTTTTTTTTTGAGATAGAGCCTTGCTTTGTTGCCCAAGTTGGAGTGCAGTGGTGCACTCTTGGCTTAGTACAACCACTGCCACCCGGGTTGAAGCTATTCTCCTGCCTCTGCCTCCTGAGTAGCTGGGACTACAGGCACATGCCACCACGCCTGGCTAACTTTTGTATTTTTAGTAGAGATGGAGTTTCACCATGTTGGCCAGGCTGGTCTTGAACTCCTGACCTCAAGTGATCCACCCACCTAGGCTTCCCAAAGTGCTGGAATTACAGGCATGAGCCACCACGCCTGGCCAGAATTCATCTTTAACTGTAGGACTGGGGTCTTTTCTTGCTGACCTTTGGCTCTGAGTTGGGAGCTGCTCTCACCTAGGGACTGCCTGCAGTTCCTTGTTACCCGGTTTATCTGTAGGCTTTCTTACAATATGGCAGCTTGCTTCTTTAAAGCCAGCAAGGGCTTTTCCAGTCTGCTAAGATGGCATCTTATATAGAACATAATCACAGGAGTGACATCTCATTACTTTTGCTATATTCTTTTGGTTAGAAGCAAGTCAGGTCTTGCCTACACTCAAGGGGAGGGGATTATATAAGGTGTAACATGGGGAATGCATGGAGATCATGGGGCCCATCTTAGAATTTTTCCTACTTGACAGTATTCTAATAAGAACTTGAGATCTCTGATAATTGGCAGAGGATATTTTAAGTTTTATCTTCAAGGAGTACCATTTCTTTTTTAGAAGTAATAAAACAGGCCGGGCGTGGTGGCTCAAGCCTGTAATCCCAGCACTTTGGGAGGCTGAGGCGGGTGGATCATGAGGTCAAGAGATCGAGACCATCCCGGTCAACATGGTGAAACCCTGTCTCTACTAAAAATACAAAAAATTAGCTGGGCATGGTGGCGCGTGCCTCTAATCCCAGCTACTCAGGAGGCTGAGGCAGGAGAATTGCCTGAACCCAGGAGGCGGAGGTTGCGGTGAGCCGAGATGCGCCATTGCACTCCAGCCTGAGTAACGAGTGAAACTCTGTCTCCAAAAAAAAAAAAAGAACTAATAAACCGGTATTTTTATATTAATTACATTTCCTTTGTTTGCTTGTGAGGGTCTAGAAATCAGCCTATAAATTTATCCTGGGCTGTATTTTTCTGTGGGCTTTTTAGGGTGTGATGTGAGTACACACACTTCACTGAAACCCTTTTTTCCTTGCAGCACTGTAAGGGCTGTGGTAAAATAACAACATAAAGGAACTTAATTTTTTTTTTTTTTTAATTTTAAATAGAGATGGGGTTTCACCATGTTGGCCAGGATGGTCTCAATCTCTTGACCTCGTAATCCACCTGCCTTGGACTTCCAAAGTGCTGGGATTACAGGCGTAGCCACCGTGCTGGGCCTAGGAACTTAAGTTCTTAATTTTTGGTTTGATGTTACTTGATTCCCAAAGACTAACAGATTAGTTATATATAGTGCCAGAGAAGGTATAGGGAAACTGTCACTCAAGTTGTTGAGAAGTTTAACTGGTACCTTAAGTTGATGTGTGATTGGTAAAATACCAAAATTAAGAATTTACATTTGCTTTGATCTAGCAGTTCCTTTTCTAAGAATTTATCCTACAGAAATGTGTGCTCAAAAGCTGCACTGTTTAAGAAGAAAAAACCTAAATGGTCATCACTAGGATCAATTAGATATTAAGTCACTGATGCAATGGAATTTTATATAGTTGAATAGAAAAATTGGGCACATGTATGGACATGAAATGTTTTCCATTAGTTTGAAAACTTCAGTTTTTTTCAAGAGCATTTAAATACAAAGTTCCTTGTAAAAAAAAAAAAAAAAAGATTTTTCTTGGTCCATATATAAAATAGGACCTGGAAAGAATACATCTGAGAGAAGGCTTTGATTTTGGTAAAACAAAATAAAATGACAAGAAGAAAAATAATTTTTAGTCAAATTCATTGTACTCAAGTTTGAAATCCTGGTTTCTTTCTTAGATACATATTATCTAAGTTTTTTTGTTGTTGAGACAGGGTCTCTCACTCTGTCACTCAGGCTGCAGTACAGTGGTACAGTCATGCTCACTGCAGCCTTGACTTCCTGGGCTCAAGGGATCCTTTGTTCTCAGCTACCTGAGTAGCTGGGACTACAGTCATGTGCCACCACACCCAGCTAATTTTTTGTATTCCTTTTGGAGATGGGGCTTCACCATATTGCCCAGGCTAGCTTCTAACTCCTGGACTCAAGCAGTCTACCCACCTCAGCTCCCAAAGTGCTGTGGTTACAGGCATGAGCCACTACACCCAGACTAAGTTTTCTAAAATTTTTGTATTGTTTTAAAGACGGAGGTTTTACCATATTGGTCGGGCTGGTCTCAAACTCCGGACCTCAGGTGATCCGCCCACCTCAGCCTCCCAAAGTGCTGGGACTACAGGTGTGCACCACCACACTTGGCTAATTTTTGTATTTGTAGTAGAGATGGTGTTTCACCGTGTTGGCCAGGCTGGTCTTGAACTCCTGACCTCAAGCCATCCACCCACCTCAGCTTACCAAACTGCTGGAATTGAGCCACTGTACCTGGCCTCAGTTTTAATATAAACAACTTTCTTAATGCCTTTGACTGTGGAAGTGGTCACATGACAGTAAAGGAATGCCTTAGAAATTAATTGTATCTACAATGAATGGATCATTGGGATATCACCAGAAACTTAGGTATTCTAGGTACATCCTTATAAAGTTACCTTTGAAGTAGAGGAGCAATTTCTAAGATTCTGTGTGTGTGTGTGGTTTTTTTTTTTTTTTTTTTTTTTTTTACAAAGTACAGCATAACTTGAATGAGGACCAGTTTGTCATCTATAGGGTCTAGACATCTTAGTTTCCGTTTTCTATTGAAGGGCTGGGGGGGCAGGGTACATCTAAGGACTCTAGAATCTGTTTTCCATTATGTGATGTATAGGTTGAAAGGCACTCTGCCTTTTATAAAAGGGAAAGTAGCAAAATTGTTTAACCAGAAGTCGGCAACTAGGTTAAGGACTAAATATTATCTTTTCTTGTTTTTCATTAGGAACATGTGACGATAGTAGTGGTGGTGATGAGGGTGACTGGGTTCAGAAATGATCACAGGTGCAACAAAGTTTTGAGGCTTGATTTTTCTAGTTTCTAGAAATGAGGCTTAGAAACGAGTACTGATCAAAATTTCCCTTAGTTATTACTATTAGTATGGTGTGGATCTAGAATAACACAGAAAGCTCATGACATGTTCTTTTCTAATGGCAGCAAGGAAAACAGTAAGTTTAACAACATAGGGATTTAGCCGTGGGTAATCAGAAAAGGTGTAAAGCAAGGTTACTGGCATTTATAAGTGTCTGTGATCCCAAGGTCAAGAGATTGAGACCATCCTGGCCAACGTGGTGACACCCCCCGCCCCCGTCTCTACTAAAAAAATACAAAAATCAGCTGGGCATGGTGGTGCGCACCTGTAGTCCCAGCTACTTGGGAAGCTGAGGTAGAATGGCTTGAGGTGGAGGTTGCAGTGAGCTGAGATTGTGCCACTGCACTCCAGCCTGGCACCTGGCGACAGAGCGAGACTCTGTCTCAAAAAAAAAAGTCTGTGATCTGATTTTGGGCTGGGCACGTGGCTTATGCCTGTACTTCAGCACTGGGAGGCCCAAGTGGGAGGATTGTCTGAGCCTAGGAATTTGAAAGCAGCCTGGGTAAAATGGCAAGACCCAATCTCTGCAAAAAATATAAAAAATGTGTCAGGTGTGGTGGTATAGACCTTTGATCCCAGCTACTGAAGAGGCTGAGGTGGGAGGATTGCTTGAGCCCAGGAAGTTGAGGCTGCAGTGAGTTGTGTTCATACCACTGCACTCCAGCCTGGGCCACAGAACAAGACCCTGCCTCAAAAAGAAAAAAAAAAAAAAAAAGTCTGATTTTGGCAGAGGAAAGTTGGTAGTTTGATTTGGAGCTCAAGGAAACTTTCTGAAGTTCATGATTAATCTTTTCCTATATTTTGGCTTTTTAGGACAAGGAGACTGGTTTTCACAGAGGTATGGGTTGGGTTCAGTTTTCTTCAGAAGAAGAACTTCAGAATGCACTACAACAGGAAAATCATATTATAGATGGAGTAAAGGTAAATTTGTTTCTATACCAGATACATATATTATATACATGTAGACACTGCTTATCAATTAAGTAGATAATAAATGTGGAATGTTCAAGTCAGGGAAGCTGGGGCTGAAATCTTGGCTTTTCCACCATGTGATCTTGGGCCAAATTGATTTACTATTTTAATTTTAATTTTATTTTTTTTTAATTTTTTATTTTTTTGAGATGGAGTTTCGCTCTTGTTACGCAGGCTGGAGTGAAATGGTGAGATCTCGGCTCACCGCCACCCCCGCCTCCTGGATTCAGGCAATTCTCCTGCGTCAGCATCCCTAGTAGCTGGGATTACAGGCACGCGCAACCATGCCCAGCTAATTTTTTTGTATTTTTAGTAGAGATGGGGTTTCACCATGTTGACCAGGATGGTCTCGATCTCTTGACCTCGTGATCCACCTGCCTCAGCCTCCCAAAGTGCTGGGATTACAGGCTTGAGTCACCGCGCCCGGCCCTTAAATTTATATTTAATGAGACAGGGCCTTGCTATGTTGCAGGGTGGTCTTGAACTCCTGGCTTTAAGCAGTCCTTTTGACCCACCACACCCTGCCTCATTTATAATTTTTAATTGAGGGGTAGGGAGTCATAAGAGCAACAAAGATGGTAAAAGGAATTTGAAGAGAAAACAAAAGAACAAGGTACAAATAAAAACTGCTTGAGTTATTTATACTGACTCCCTAATTAAAAAAAAAAAGCAATTTTCAGTTTGAATGTTTTTTGCAGACACTGTCTTTCCTTCCTTACAGTGTTTATTTTTTTTTAGCTCCAGGTTCAAGCTCAAAGGCCAAAAATTTTGCAAATACCCGATGAAGAGAAAGATTTTTGAGACTGCCAACTTATTAAATAAAGTTAACATAACTGAGAATTTTGTCTAAATGTTTTTATTTGAAACAAATAAGTTGCATCAAGCAAGAGCTTACTTTGCCCACTCCAAATTAAAACAGAGCACAATAAGGGCAAAATTTATTTGGCAGGACAGTTCCAATATGTGAACATCCTCCTACTCACTGTGGTTGGGGTATCTTTTCTCATAGGCAGCTGTTCTTACACAAAATATTAACCCCAAACTACTAGTGTCACACAAAAGGAAGTGGTCTTGATTTGTATGTGGGGCAGCATGTTCTATAAATGCTGAAAGGTGGGAGAAGCACAAACACAACCCACTCTTTAAAAAAACTAAATAATTCAAAGTAGAATTTTCTATCCCCCCCTCCACAATTCTCCAGTAATAAAAAGTAGTGCTGGGACCTCGCACCCAGATTTGGTTTTTATCCTGACCATTTACAAAGTGTTCTTCCTTATGACTTGCATCATTAGGGTTGTGGATAATAATAGTTCATTCACTTTAAAAGAGACCTGTGTCTACTCCTTCCTCCTCTTCTTGCCTTCATGCTCATGTTCCTTGGGGCGGCTGCTATCTGAGGGTCTTTTAGAGCCACCATGCTGTTTGGCTTCTTCCAAAAACTTGTCCAAACCAAAAGGATCTTCCTCAAATTGAACTGGTCCTTCTCGGCCTCTCTGCCTACGGTCTGAACCAGAAAACTCCTTGTCGGGAACAAATCTAGGGAAAAAGAGAAAAGACTATGAACTACTTTGTTTTCACCAGTGTAAACAGTGAAATTGAGTTGTATGGCGTGGTACCTGTTGGTCTTTATTCTGGCTTCTAGGTCATCACCATACATGTCCTTGTCCAGATTTTTACTGGGCCTATAAATACTCTGGGCCATATCTTTACCACCTCTCCAGGCTTGATCATAAACATTATAAATTTCATCTTCTCCTCCTGCAAATCCACTGTCCATACCCTGTGGAAAAATGGATGACATTAAATAAAAATGTAAACAATGTTTATTAAAAGCTGAATCCGATAACATGCTTAGAGTAAACCCTTGCTAGTTTGTAGCTCACGCTTTCAAAAATCTGAACTGCCAATTTAAAAAAAGGTCTTCATTAAAAAACTGCTATAGCACAAACTTTTGTTCCTAACAACTTTGGATTCTTTTTTTTTTTTTTTTTTTCTTCAGACAGAGTTTCGCTCTGTTACCCAGGCTGGAGTACAGTGGTGCAATCTCAGCTCACTCCCAATTCCAGTGATTATCCCACCTCAGCCTCCCAGGTAGCTGGGATTAGAGGCACACGCCACCACACCCAGCTAAATTTTATATTTTTTAGTACATTTTATTAGGGCCAGGGTTTCACCATGTTGGCCAGGCTCATCTTGAATTTCTGACCTCAGGTTGTCCGCCTGCCTTGGTCTCCCAAAGTGCTAGGATTACAGGTATAAGCCACCTCGCTGGCCAACTGGTCTTAGCTAGAGGCGTAGATAAAATAAGGGTAATTCATTAAATTTAACTACCTTAAGTAGTCATTAAAATAGGATATTGGCCAACTCGGTGGCTCATGCCTATAATCCCAGCACTTTGGGAGGCCGAGGCAAGTGGATCACCTGAGGTTAGGAGTTCAAAACCAGCCTTGCTAACATGGTGAAATCCCTTCTCTACTGAAAATAAAAAAATTAGCCACGCATAGTGGCATGCTTCTGTAATTCCAGCTACTTGGGAGGCTGAGGCAGTTCAATCCTTTGAACTCGTGAGGTGGAAGTTGCAATAAGCTGAGATCAAGTCACAGTACTCCAGCCTAAGCAACAGAGTAAAACTTTGTCTCAAAAAAAGAAGATAAGCAGGTACTTGACAGTTTCAATCTGTATAGACATGGTAGCAAGAAGATGAAAGAACTGTGAAACATGTTATATCCCTTAACCACCTGAGAACATTGTTACTACAGCATAAGACAATATATGGCTCTCCAAGAAAAGCTTAAGTCACCAAGAAACACATCTTTTTTTTTTCCAGACAGGCACTCCCTGTTGCCCAGGCTGGAGTGCAGTGGTTTGAGTGATAGGATTATAGGTCACCAGAGCTGTGACCTCCTTGTGCTCAGGTGTTCTTCCACCTCAGCCTCCCAAGTAGCTGGGAGTATAGATGTTGCCACCATACCCAGATAATTTTTTGTAGACAGGGCTTTGCCATATTGCCAGGGCTGGTCTTGAACTAGGCTCAAGCAATCTGCCCGCCTAGGCCTCACAAAGTGCTACGGTTACAGGTGTGAGCCACAGTGCCCAGCCAGAAGATTTTCATCACAATTTTTAAATGTTTTAAGCTTAAGCTTCTAATAGGTGATTATCTTCAAAATATTTACTTACGTGAAATTTCACCCCTAGATCCCTTTTCTCAGCTGTTAAGTTGCCATTGTATAGTAGTTAAAAAAGCTTTGAAATCAAGAGATACCTAGTTTGAATTGTAGTTCCATCAGTCACAAGCTAAACCTGTGTTTCAATTTCCTCATCTATAACATGAGAGATAATGGTATGATTTTATAGGATTTTTATAAGAATTGAGAATAACAAAAGACTTAGAACAGTACCAACAATATAAACTGTACCTAATAATTGTCACTTAGAAGAGCTTACTTAAAATCTCCAATTATTAAGTTTTCCACTCTATTTCCCAGTAGAACTTGGACTTCTGTATTCTTACCTGGTGTGTGTGTGCGCACGCATGCTTGTGTGTCTTCCCAGGCTTAAAATGTCCTAACTAGCTAATGGCAGTTGGCACTAGAAATCAGATTCCCTGACAGCCAGCCTAGTACTTTAATCCAGTTTTATAGTTTCATTTATAAAAGATTCCCAAGTTGACATACTTCTATGGCATAAAAAAAAAAAAATCCAAGATCAACAACAAAAAACCCAGGAGGCACTTCTGTAGGACACTGGCTCTATTTTATTTTTTTGAGATAGAGTCTCACTCAGTCACCCAGGCTGGAGTGCAATGGCACAATCTTGGCTCACTGCAACCTCCAACTCCCCAGTTCAAGCAATTCTTGTGTCTCAACCTCCCAAGTAGCTGGGATTATAGGCGTACACCACCACACTTGGCTAATTTTCATATTTTTAGTAGAGACAGGGTTTCACCATATTGACCAGGCTGGTCTTGAACTCCTGACCTAAGGTGATCTACCACCTTTGCCTCCCAACGTGTTGAGATTACAGGCATGAGCCACCATGCCTGGCCTCCCTGGCTCTATTTTAGAAACAAAAGATTGACATACCACAACACCAAGTTTTTAATCGCTAATTTCTTTCTTCTCCTAGTGTCTCAAATCTCAACCCACTATAAGAAGTTAAAATCTTTGGGTGGGGGGAATTAAAAAAAAAAAAAAAGTTAATATCACACAACACAAGAATCCCGCCCCCCGCAAAAGTTAAAATCAACTGTTTCATCTTCTTGTCTCAAGTTTCAACATACAACTTCCATTTTTTTTGTTATGCTGGCATTTACATCCACACATAAAAGTATGTTAATTTTCATTTCCCTGAGGATATTCACATCAACACACACAATATCCTGTTCTTAAACTTGTACCTTGGATTGGTTGAAGAGCCTTTGGTCGTACTGAACTTCATTGGAAGTCCGAGGATTGGGAACACCGAGAGCAATGACCTCACTGATATCCCGATTTTCATTTCTCTGAAGTTTTGACCTATTTTGAAACACGCCATCAGTAACTGAAAACTCTACAGACAAGGTGAATATGTTCAATTGAAATACAACCAATCTCAGAAGCAAAGGACATGAATATGTCACATTTGTGTCTTGTGAACATATATTCCTTGATAATACATAATCAAGCTGGCAGCCCTTATAAAGCATTTCAGATTAGAGGGAGAGTTTTACAATTAGGACGTCCTGTTAGCTCAAAAGAACATCTAACAGACTTGTTGACATGGAATTCTTTAATATAAGCAATCACCTTACAATATGAGATACAATGCTGAGGTATAAAATTGCTATGGTCTACATTTACTATCATTATATGATGGTTTGGGGGTTGGGGAAGTAGATACAAATTAGATACAGCACAGGAATCATTTTAAATAAGCTAGAATCAGCTCTTTTATCTAACCACATTTAGTAATTTTATCCCACTAGAATTTTGAGGAAAACATGTCAATGACTGAATCGGTTAGTATGATTTTTGACATTCAGATTAATTTGGTTTCCTGGCTGTTTTATTATGTATGCAATTTACATCGCAATGAAACCATGGTAACTGTCATATCTTATTTTACTAAAAATTCAGGTCACAAAATGATTTCTATAGGCGATTTTATTTTTATTCAGTTACAATTTTACAGCTTTTCTATGTTATCAATTCTGATAGCCACTTTACTGGTTTTGAGGGCCCAATTTATCTACAGAACTACTGTAATTTTTATTTTTAAAATTTTTTTATAAAGACAGATTTTTACCATATTGGTCAGGCTGGTCTTGAACTCCTGACCTCGGGTTATCCACCTGCCTCAGCCTCCCAAAGAGTTGGGATTACAGGCGTGAGCCACCATGCCCAGCTACTATAAATTTTTAACTTAGGAATTAATTAAATACTTTCACACTTGCTTCTCCTTCTACTACATGTACTTTATCCTCAACTCTAAACTCAAGAGTAAGAGTCTCTGCTTCTCCATGACATTATTTATCCAGGGAGATGAAATATTCCAATAAATACCAGCAGAAATCCTTTTCACGTTTATTTAATTTTAATTTTAATTTTTGAGACAGTCTTGCTCTGTCACCCAGGCTGAAATGCAGTGGCATGATCTTGGCTCACTGACACCTCCACCTCCAGGGTTCAAGTGATTTTTCTATTTCAGCCTCCCAAGCAGCTGACTACAGGCACCTGCCACCATACCCGGCTAATTGTTGTATTTTTGGTAGAGACAGGGTTTCACCACGTTGGCCAGGCTGGTCTCGAACTCCTGACCTCAAGTGATCCACCTGCCTTGGCCTCCCAAAATGCTGGGATTAC